AAAAATTAAAAACCCCCCCCCCCCCCCAAAAAAAAAAAAGTGTAAATGTCCACTTTTCTGTTATCTGATATATTTTTCAGGATAAAAACAAATCATCTTAAGCTATTAATTCCATGAAAATGATAATTTTCAGTTAAATCAACCCAAATGAACGAATCTGTTACACTCGACCAGCTGGAAATTTAAATTGTTCTGAGGCCTAACGAACGTTTCCTTAAAATTTAAAAGTATTGATTGCTTTCTTCTCTTAAACTTCCTCATCAAACGAACGTTACAGCAAACAACACTAATTAACAAAATTTAAATCAGGCCCAAAAGACAAACAATTAAGCTAAATTCACCGAATAAGTTAACCAACCTGAGAAGCAAGGGGACCCTTAGATGAGAGCTCTTCGCGGACGAGATCACCGGTGGAGATGTGAGGAACGCCGAGGAGCCTAGAAAGGCGACCGGCGTAGGTCCCCTTTCCGACTCCGGGACATCCGAGGAAAACCCACTGGACATTCCTGTCCTTGGGGATTCGACCCAAAGGGAGAGACTTGTGACTGAGCGACGACGCCGCTCGAAGGTTAATTTCGGAATTCAAAGTTGACGAAGTAGAAAAGCCTCGGTTTATTATAGACGAGAAGTCTGAGCCTCTCGCTCTCAGTAGGCGGTTCAACACCGCCATGTATTCAGAGCTAGAGCTTGAACTTGAGAGAGAGAGAGAGAGAGAGAGAGAATTACCTGGTTGAGTCGGTGCAGCGTGGGAACTAAACTAAAAGGGAGAATTTCATTTTCTTCCTAAAAAGATTCAATAATTTCTATATTATACCCTTACAAATTAGATTTTTTTAGAGTATACCCTTGATCCTTTATTCCTCAAAAAATAGGAGAAAATATTTATTACAACGATGATACCATGTCATGGGTGTCACGTGGTATCACTAACTAATAAAAATAAATCATGTAAGATAAACGGATCCTATTAATTTTAATAACTTTCAATAATCACTCTGCTTAGTGTTGGCCGATTAACACCTTAGAATAGTAGAGTTCGCTTATCTTATATGATGTATTTTTGTTGGTTGATGATCTTATGTGACATCGACAAAATGATGACATAATATCACCGCTATAACGAATATTTTCAGCAAAAATAGGGTCAAATTGAAATATTTTTAATACATTTAAGGTAAAATATAAAAAATTAAGACTTTAAAGATATAAAATATTTTTTTTTTAAATCTTATGAGGCACAAAGAGATTCCCCCTGTGGGGTTAGGCCTGCAGGCCTATTTTAAAGCACGTGAGAAGCATTGATTCAAGGCTTTGAAAATTAGAGATAGTGACATATTTGCTTTTGGAAGTTCTTTGTTTCTTTCTTGTAACAAATTTTATTCTAGGAAAATAGTTTCAAATATTATCGTATCAAAATTATTATATTTTTTTTAATTATTTTTTTAAAAAATTTATATCATCTTTCAGTTAGAATTTATTATTAATATTTCAGAATGCCAATTCATCTTTTAGGTTCAATTGTTATTTTTTAGGTTTATTTACCATCTTTTTGGTGAAATTTAATTATTTTTTGAGGTAAAATTTAAGAAAAATTTCAATCACATTCTCTTTAGCTTACCATATCCTCAATGATAGTCTTTCTATTTTTTGAATCTTCACTGACATCTCTGTCAGATTAAAAATGTTAACTACAATGCAATTTTATTAAATTGTCTATGATATATTTGAGGAAAAACTTTATTTGTACCCCCTCTAGATAAACATATCTTTAATGAGACCTCTTTCTAAACTTTTTTACTTATTAAAATTCGGGTCGATTAAAATTCGATTCGAGCTAATTAAAATTTATTTTTTATGTATTAAAATTCGAGTCTATTAAAAATTATATTTTTTACGTATTAAATTTTGAATCAATTAAAATTCTATTTTAGTTGATTAAAATTCTATTTTAGTGAATTAAAATTTATCTTTAATTGACTTAAATCAAATTTTAATCAACTAGTATTGAATTTTAATCTATCAAAATTTTAATACACTAATAAATCGAATTTTAATCAATTCACAGCGAATTTTAATCGAAGATAACAACTTAGGTGGAGCTTAAATCGGGTCGAATTTTAATACATAAAAAAAAAAATTTAAAAGGCTCAATTTTAATAAATAAACAAAATAAAATTTATTAAGCTCGAATTGAATTTTAATCGGTTCAAATTTAAATATATAAAAAAATAAATTTTAATCAACTCAAATTTTAATATATATAAAAAAAATTTAATCAACTCTAATTTTAATCAAATTTTATGTAAAAAGATTGTTTGGAGTTTATGTAAGGATATTTTTTATTTTTTTGTTAAAAATAGTGGTTTAATGATAAGATGTTTTCAATGATAGTTTAAATTTAAACTAGAGGGGGTGTCAGTGTTTTTAATAATAGAAGAAGTATCTTTAAAGATATAAAAAACTAGAAGGTATGTGATTTAAATTTTTTCTAAAATTTATTACTTAGGTATGATATTAAAAAATAAAAAATGAGTATTGTAGCATTCCCCGAAAACTCGAGGGATTTTCATAATTATAATTCTGCATGATTCTCGACAACCAATGAGATAGTGACATTTTTCAGCAAAGAACATGGGTATGTGACGATAAAAAAATTATTAAAAACTTTCAAAAAGTTTTGTATCAAACTGGCAAAAAATGATATACACGTGGTTGAATAATCTCAATATCTTACTAACCGAAAAGTAGAAGAAGAAGAATCCCAATTTCTTATTAAAAACACACTTTCTTGATATAAACTCTCCTGCATCACAGTAATACGATCATGCTATCATTGTCTTGTACCAAACCC